CGCAGAAGGTGCGAGGCCGACGCCGCCAGGACGCGCCCACCCTTCGTCTGCCCCAGGGACCCCGCAGCTCCCACCCGGGAGCAGGACGCCCCCGCCCACTGCCGCCCCCGCTTCCCCGGCTGGCGTGGCGCGCCCGCCCTGTGGCGAGGCCGCAGCGGTTTCCGCAGCCTGATGGGGGAAGGGAGACCGGGGAGGTAGGCTGCTGGCTGGGGGCAGGGGGCACCAGGGACCACATCTAGGACGGAGGAGCTGTGGGTCCCCGGGAGGCTCGTAGCCCTCCTCGCCCGCGTGCCCCACCCCAAGAAAGTCCTGCCCGTTGTCCCACTCAAATCCTCCATGCTTCAGGCCTCTGGGCCCCGCAAGCACCTCTGGACTTGTGGGAAGCAGCCCTGCCCAAAGCCCCCCACACCCACAGAAAGCCCGGGATGGAGCGAGCAGGGATCCGGGTTCTGAGTGTCCAGCCACCACCCGGATAGCCCCAGACTCTTGGGGCCCTCAGGGAGGGGCTAGGAGCCGGAAACCAAGAAAGAGGAACCAGGCTTCCGGCTTCCCAAGGACCAGGCAGATGGGGGTGTCCTGGAACCTCCTGTGCAGATCTGGTCAGGCCTCCCACCTCATGGCCCTGCACCCCTTCTGGCTGTGCTGGAGGCTGGGTGGGGAGCAGACCCCGCTGGAGTATGGACGAGGAGGGTGGGACTCTCGGGGACCTCGCCAGGGGGCACACAGGGGCTGGGGTCTCAGGTTCTCTGAGCACCTCGGCCTCTCTTCTCAAACCCCCAGGCTGTGGTAAGGGTCCCAGAGCCAGCACCACGGAGCCCGGGCAACCTGCACCCACCCATGCCCACCCCGCATGAGGCTGGGAACCAGGTGCGCCTCTGCCCCTTGGGGGACCGGGGGAGCAACCAGGAGTTGAGAGGCCCTCTGACATCTAGGAGGCGGCTACAAGCAGCGGGCGGTGGGAGAGGTCGGTGGCCCTGTGGTTCCGGCCGTGGCTGAGGTGCCCCATCTTCCCCTAGCACACAGGGCCAGAGGAGGCGGACCAGCCCCCCTCAATGTCCAGTCATGATGTGGCCTCCCCGGCTGCCCCCAGCCGCAACCCCTGCTGCTTGTGCTGGTGCTGCTGCTGCAGCTGCTCCTGGTACGTGGGGCCTGGGGGCCTGGGGCACACAGTGCACCTGAGGAGCGGACGGGTGAACTGAACAGACGTAGGACCCGGGGTCCTGCTTCCCAGACCCTCAGGGGGCTTCAGAAGTGTCACCAGCAGGCAGGATGCCCCTGCCACCCCCAGCACTCATCCAGCGGTGGCCAGTGGCCAGTGCCCAGGCCCCTCTGCATGTGTGCAGTCCCTCATCCCTATGCTCAGCACATGCTTCCTGATGCTGCTGTGAGCCAGCCCTGCTGGCCCCAAGGGCCCTACAGACTAAGGTGGAGGGGTACTGAGCAGAGGCCTGGCCCTGGGGATGACGAGGACAAGCTTCCAGAGCGACCAGCTGGCAGGGCCGAGGGGCCTTCCAGTGGTACCAAGGTTTTCCATGGGAAGCTGCTGTTGGTGCCTGGCAGAGGCCTGGCCCACCTCAGGCTCTGGCCCTTGGCTGTTGAGTGGGCAGTGCTGTGGGAACCAAAGGGGGACACCTGACCAGTGCATGACCGAGGCTTGAGCCCAGAGCCAAGATGGGAGGGGGTGGCCCGGGGTGGGAGAGGAGCAGTGAGGCCTCACCGAGAGTTTGACCATGGAGACCAGGGGTGGATTTGGAGTCCAGCAGGCAGGAGGGGGATGGGACCCGGCTCTGTCTGGACCCCTGGGTTTGAGGTATCTGTTGCAGGTTGGGAGTTGGAAGGTAGAGGAGGGAAGACGGTCCCCTAGAGCAGTGGTCCCCAACCTTTCTGGCACCAAGGACTGGTGCTCCCATAAGAATCGAACGCCTGATGATCTGCGGTGGAGCTGAGGCGGTGATGCTAACTCTGGGGAGCAGCTGCACATTCAGATGAAGCTTCATTCGCTGGCCGCTGCTCACCTGCTGTGCGGCCCAGTTCCTAACAGGCCACAGACCAGTACTGGTCTGCGGCCCAGGGGTTGGGGACCCCTGCCCTAGGGAGCCAGATTCTTGGGTGGGGGCTTTCCCATGCCATCAGTGGGCCTCTGGGAGAAAGGGGTCAAAGTGGGAGGGGGAGATGTGTACCAGGAGCCAGTGAAAAGTCCCAAAGGCAAGAAAACAGTGAAGGTCCAGGGTTGGGCGGGACAGGAGAGGGGAAGGCTGCCACCTGCAGTGGGCTTACACAGCGCCGAGAGCCCTGGGCTCGTGTCCACACGCATGCCTGTGTGTGTGCGGAGAAGGTTGGTGCCACCTGTCCCTGTGCCATCAGGAATGAAGAGCGGCGGCGAGCGTGGCGGGCCTCGCGGGAGAGCAAGCTGCAGCCCCTGCCCAGCTGCGAAGTGTGGTGAGTCGGGGGCCGCGCATGCGCGTCTGCCCACGGGGC